AGTGTTAGTTTTTAATCGGAAATGGTGTTTTGAAAGCGAGGCTCCGTAACTGTTCGTTGAGCTTCGGGTCACTTCGTGGAAATTCCGTTTCTATTTTTAGAAACTAGTTTGTTGTTGCATGAGTTATCGTTCTTTGATAACACCCGTAATTTTCGGGGTGTATACTAGGTGGCGCTTCGATCGAAAATTGTATTTCCCCAGGCTGTCGATTTGCCGAACAGAAGCACATAAAAAATCGACAGACTGGAACCCAGGCTACTTTCCTGGTTTTATATTATGTTTTTTGTCTACCAGCTTAGCTCTATAGGAATAGCATGGTGGATTTATTACCCACATAATGCAGGGGGCGCTCAGGTTTGATCCTTGGGTGAGGACAGTGAAATTTCTCTGTGACAACAGTAACTGATCACTAACAATTTATTGAGTCTTGTAAGTCATTAATTTTGTTTCCTGCAGTTGTTTTATGATTTATGGAACTTGTAGCATGTCACTGGTGTAGATATTGTTAATTACGTTATCTAGAAAAGACAGATGGACTAAAAATATAGCCTAAATATGACCAAAAGGTGTATCATTGAAATTGGCATAATGTATGAGAATCAGATTAACAAACTATTTGAAAAATTATATTTTTGGAGAAGAAATATTTAAACAAAACAGAAAACAAGTGGTTATATAAATTTTAAAATGTAAATATCTTGTTGACAGTAGACTTTTTACTAACCAAGGATAAAAACAAATGTAAAATAGGTCTAATACAAAAGAAAAAAAATTGTGACTAATATAATCACAATCATTATGTCTGTCTCAAATTATTTGTGTGTACTCCAAGGTGTAATAAAGTTACTATAAGGTTTGAATAAGTACATAAAATGTATCTTTAATAAAGCTTTGAAAAAGTTACCTGACATGTTTGAATCAGTCACTTAAAGAATAGAATTAGTAATTTCAAGGTTTGAATAAGTAACTTTATGGTTTGAATAAGTAACTTAGTGGTTTGAATAAGTAACATGGGGTTTGAATAAGTAACTTTAAGGTTTCAATAAGTAACTTTATGGCTTGAATAAGTATCTAAGTGGTTTGAATAAGTAACTTTATGGCTTGAATAAGTATCTAAGTGGTTTGAATAAGTAACTTTATGGTTTCAATTAGTAACTTAATGGTTTGAATAAGTAACTTTATGGTTTCAATTAGTAACTTAATGGTTTGAATAAGTAACTTCATGGATTGAATAAGTAACATGGGGTTTGAATAAGTAACTTTAAGGTTTCAATAGGTAACTTAATGGTTTGAATAAGTAACATCATGTTTTGAATAAGTTACTTTATGGTTTGAATAAGTAACTTTAAGGTTTAAAAATAATTACAAGACTGTTTGAACAAGATACCTCAAGATTTTGAATATTTAGTAACTTTAATTTGAATGATATGCTTAAAATTTGAATAAGTAACCTCAGGGTTTTGAATGAGTAACTTAAAGGTTTGAATTATAAACTTACTTAAACTCATCCTGTAATTTTAAAAGTGTGAATAAGTATATCTTGATGGAAATTCATAACACATGACATAAAGGTTTAGAAAAAATACTTTCATAGATTAAAAAAAAAAATAGACTATAGAATTTGATGAGGTTGGTACAAAAAAGTATAAAAAAAATATTTAGAATATTTAGAATCAAAACAAAGAGTTTATAAAGCTGTTTAAGTACCTTACACAGACTTACCTTTTTGAAAGACTAAAATCTTTATGATGATCAAAAGTTATGGCAAAATTGCAATTTTTATCAAACCCTTGTGAAAAGAATTCAATTTTATTAAGTCCAAAAAAAAAACTGTTTTATGAAATAAAAATGTACTTACCTGTAAAAAGAAACAGAACTCTTGTAAATATAAATGTATTATTTTTTTACTTCTAAATTGCAATTTGTATAAAATCCTTAACAAAAAAGTAATTTTATCATATATATAAAGTTTACTTGCCTTTTATATGACTAATCTTTATTATAAATTATAAGATATTATTTTATACTTCTAAATTGCAATTTGTGCGAAAATCCTAAAAACAACATTATTTTCCTTTTCTATTAAAATCGTAACAAAATTATTATTATTAATTTGATCTTGAATCAAAGCAAGAAATAAGTGTTTTCCATTCACCTTTATATGACATGGTCAACACAGATATATTACAAAAACAAACTCTACCTTTATTTAGTTTATTAATTTGGATTTTGATACTATACAAACAAATCAATATCTCTCTTTGATTTGCTGTAGAAAAAATAATTCTTACGAGAAATAAATTTTTCATAATTAATGAAATTTTATTTTAAAGTAAGCATGATCAATGGAATGATGTTACTGGAACAAAAATTTGCTCAGGTACAAACAGAACTTTACCTTCAATTACAGAAGAAATATAATTTATAGCTTCATTGTGAGTTCACAATGGATTAGCCAACATGTTGCACTTACTTTTGAAACTTTACCCCCAGATTTACTGGGAAAACCCTAAATATTATTGATTCCAGTGTAAGTCTATATCATAAAAATACTTCAAATATAACGGGAGCATCCTTGGCGGAGTATAAGTTAAGGTTGTTGACTTGAATCCACTTGCCCCTCAATTTGGTATGTGTTCAAGATCCTAAAAGTATGGATCCTCATGTTAGGAAGCAACAACAAAGAACGTTTTTCGATGATAAGTGGGAGATTTTTCTTCAAAAAGAGGGAGATTTTAGAATTTGCTATATTAAAATAAACAAGAAAGTTCTGATATCAAAAGGAGGAAGATTTCTTTAATTTGTGAAAATACCTGTTATTTCATGAAAAATCTTTGAAAATATGGCTGCAGAAAGTGGGAGCCTCCCGCTAAAAGTGGGGGAGTTCACATGTATGCTGAAATAATGCACGGAGGGGCATATAATATCTCAATCCTTGGCAAGTTATGCTGGAAAGTCCTCATATTACTGTAACAGTGTTATGTGCCACATAAAACAATCAACATCAAACCATCAAACAAACAACAATCTACAATTCTACATCCATAAAATACCAATGATCTATACAATTGTTAAATAATAGAATTATTATACCTTCAATAGTGAAAATTTCCTTTGCTCTTCAAACTTCAAAATAAAATCAATCTCAGAATGTTGTGTCCTGTCAAAACCACAAAATTTTCTAAATACAAAGGGAAAATGTGTAAAATTGCTTTTTACAAAAATTTCAAAATTTCACCAAACTACAGGAATGGCCGTTACGTCACAGTTATTTCATTTTAGTATAATGTTTGAATTAGGTGACAGATTATGCTATTGATATGATATATTGTCGTAAAAATCAACTTCAAATATCTCTCTATAAGATGTGTGAACAACAAAAATAAAATATTACAGTTTGACAAGTAGGAGTTTATTATGACTTTTGAAAAACTACTTGATTTTGTATGCCTGTTCTTTTATCATCTTTTATAAAAGAAATTTTATATTTATGTTATTTTTTTTCACTTACATGTTTATATAAAATCATGGTCAGAGTTTTTTCAAATTAATATTCTATTTTGATTAACTTTAATATAAAATAAACTATAGAAAAATGTTTAGCAAAGTTAACTAAAACGTAACACTTTTGATAACAATGAAATAGTATTTGTATTATATAGATTGCTTTTAAACCTTTGGCTGCTCAATTTGTTTAATGGAGTATTTGAATCTGCCACATGAAAATTAATATGACACTTTGGCAAAAGAATTCTTTCTAATGAGTGGCATAAGAATTCTTTCTAAGTGATTTAAGAATTGTTTCTAAGTGGCATAAGAAAAGAATTCTAAGTGGCTTCTTTCTAAGTGGCATAAGAGTTCTTTCTAAGTGGCATAAGAATTCTTTCTAAGTGATTTAAGAATTCTTTCTTAGTGGCATAAGAATTCTTTCTTAGTGGCATAAGAATTCTTTCTTAGTGGCATAAGAATTCTTACTAAGTGGCTTTTGTATTATTCCTAAGTTAGGGATTTGTCAAGCTTGCCTATGAAAGTTTGGTGGTTTTGCTCACATGCCTCTTTAATATATGTTATCCAAAACTCGTCAAATGTGAGTTTTTCCAACCTAATCCCCCCATTACAAACAAACTTTTACTTTTATAGCTTTACGGAGCCCGTTACTGTTCAAAATAGTTTTGTCAATCTGTTAGCTTATTTTTGAAGCTGTAAGTTTGTAAAATTAGGCTTGTAACCTGGATTAACTGAGAAAACCAAAAAGTACTCTTCATTCTGGAGTTAGTTGATTCTCCTTGAAATACTGCATCTGAGGTATTTTTCTGCCAGTAAAGCTGCAGATCAAATTGTCATGTAACTAAGAGTGCAACAGTAATAAAGTAATAGTTATTGAAGTATATATTGCAGTGCAGTGAACCCTTATTGAATTAAATGATTTTTTTTATGAAAAACAATGTAAAACTATAAAGCTGCTGTTTAATATATATTTTAATTTTATCCAATTATTTTTGGGGCAAAAATGGTGACTGTCTGACTCATCTATTCTACATATGTACAAGTTCATTGTTTGTACATTCATTCATTCATTTGTTTGTTTGTTGATTTGTTCTTTCCTTTGTTTGTTTGTTCTTTCCTTCATTCTTTCCTTTGTTCATTGATTTGATGATTGATTGATTGAAAGCTGCAAGTACGACATAAGGCAGTACTCTTGGTCTTCACAGCATACTTCTTCAATGGACCCATTAAGTTTCTCTTCTCCTCGATGGTCTGGAAACGTCCAAGACCAAACTTGCTGGAAGTATCGATGAACCTCAGACTGATCTACTCTATCTGTTTCCTCCTGTCTGACAGAAGATCTCTGTAATATTTCTTGTTACAATTCTTCTGTGTCAGAAGGCTAGAAACAGAATCAAATTTTGATTCAATAAGTTAAAGCTGATGATTCAGCAAGTTTTCAAATCTAGTTGCCTGCATGTTTTTTTTTTTCTTCTGTTTGATTCATTATTGAAATGTCGGAGAATGTGTCACATGCAGGAATTGTTTTCTATTTTCAGGAATTTGAATCTATTTACCAGCAGTTTTTCCCGCATGGAAGTCCCAAGAAGTTCGCCTCATATGTGTTTAATATATTTGATACAAATAAGGTAATTTGAAATTTGATTATTATCTATATAAGTTTAACTGCTTGTTTCACAACAAGTACACAAGTGTTATAAAGCAGCATGTTTGAGGTACATTTAAGATAACTCTGGTAATCATAAATGATTTTGTTATGATGATATTATCCACCTTTTAAAGCATCTTCTTTATAAATACATTACATTTCACAAAATTCATTACCTCCCTTAGTTGCCATTTAGTTGGGGTCATGCATTACTTCCCCTGATTGCTATTTTGTTGTCCTGCATTGTCGATATATTCATTTTATGCTTAAGATAGTTACAAATCTAAGATTTGAGATTATCTCAAACAATTCAATTATGTTTATATAAACTATCAAAAACTTTTGTGATATTTGTAATTTAATAATTGTAATATTTTTCTTCACAGATGAAAAAGAATTTATTAATTCATCTATATAATATGAATGCATTTATGTATTTTAATTTCTTATTGTATGTAAGATTTGATTTTTTTTAATTGTATTTCAGGACGGTATGATATCATTTAAAGAGTTTATTTGTGCCTTGTCAATAACCTCAAGGGGAACACTTGATGAAAAACTAGATTGTAAGTATTTTAGAAACTAAACAACATTGTAAACTCAGACGGATATTCCGATTCGAACCACAAACATATGTCAGGTATTTTTTCTTGCATATTCTACTATGTTCCATCATATTTCAATTTCTTTACCTTGGTAAAACAATTTTCCATGGAAATTTATGTCATATTACACCTGAAACTATTTTTTTACAACAGCGTAAGAAATTACAACTTAATCATGACGTCATTTTAATGTGGTTCATTGATAAAATACGCTAAAATGACTCAATCGTATAGCACGTGACTCATCTGGCACCTCCCCCCCCCCATGCCAGATGAAATTTCCGGTATGGGTGTAACTAACGGATACACCAGTCTGATGTGTAAGAACTATCAAAGTATGTTTATACCCCAGGATTAGATGGGTAAAATCCACATTTGCAAATTTCCTGCAAACATCTTTTCAAGGAATTATATTCAAGGGATTTATAATTCAAATTGACATGTTTTGCTTTATTTCAGGGGCATTCAGCCTATACGATGTTGACAATGATGGTTTTATTACGCGTACAGAAATGATCGACATTATTGATGCTATTTATAGCATGGTAGGTAACCTGATCGACTTGCCTAAAGATGAAGACACACCTGAGAAACGAGCCAACAAAATATTTCAACAAATGGATATGGTAAACCCTGCTTTACTTTAATGACCTATATCAATGTTTTACTATTTATTGACAGTTTTAATTTTAAAAATTCTGATATTAATATTATTAGAGGCATAACATGCCTTTAAATTCTAAATTTAGTTGTACACTACAAATAAAAGTGACATTATGCTCATTTTTTTCATTGGCAAGCAATAAACTGAATTGACGATATTTCATAAGATTGACTGTTATAATGGTGACTGACCAATAGTTGATATTTGAAAAATGATCAGGCCAAAATATAAATCTGCAAAAAAATATAAAAAGACTGTCCCACTCTTTTTAGAAATTGAATGTTAAATGGATATTTACAGAAATTTTCATTGACCATGTGAGTTATTTATCATGCATGTGAAATAAATAGTAAAATTGAAAGGAATTATGTCAAAATAAAATTTCAAATGTTAGCTCACTACATACCTTTGGATGGACATTATAAACATGTCCATTGTCAATATAAAGAATCTAGAGTGTGATTATCTCCCTTTCTTTGTCAAACAGTTTACTAATAGTAGAGAGTAGTCAGTATTAAATATTTAACTAACCTTTAGTTATAATACTCTTCATTCTTCACCTGTCACTGACTGACCACTGTAGGTTTAAATGGATTCCTTCATCTGAGTAAGCTAATCAACACCTACTAGTCTGTATGAAAGATCAGTGGTTCTTCTTGCAGCAGAGGTGTCAATAAGGTGTCCCTTTACCGCTTTGTTTAATACTTAAATTGTAGCTGAAGTAGTATAACCTTAAGGTTGTTAATATGTGATTATAAAAAAAATTGTATTAAAATTATTGTAGAATCGAGATGGAATGCTGTCAAAAGACGAGTTTAGAGAGGGCTCTAAGAGTGACCCTTGGATTGTGCAGGCCCTTACAATTGACACAGGACCACATATCCACAGCTGACAGCATTGCAACCTCATTCAGACATGTAAAATTAATGCTGATTGGTTGAATTGTAAAGTAGAATGAATTTGATTGGTTACACAATTTCGAATTAAGAATAAGAACATTGTATTGGATTATCTGATTGGCTCTCATCATTTTTAGCTGATTTCGAATAAAGAAGGTTGGATTTGATGGACTAATTTGAAATAGAAATAGTCTATAAAAGTTTTTTAAATAGGGATAATGATATTGTTACTGTATTATGATCAGATATTTGCCTACATTACCCAGATTTTTAGCAAAACATGTGTCTCATGAGTGTTACTGTTTTTTTTTGATTGGATACATCGCTAGAACAGATTGTATGTTGTTTTACTTATACTAAGCCACCAGGTCTTGTAGCAATTCAACTTTATACAATTCTTTACAGATATACATACACTCTTGTCATTAAAAGCTGCATGCCTCCAGATTCATGCTAACTTTCATGAAAATTTTGAAAATGTATTTTAAAGTAAAATATTTGAATTGAGCAAAAAATGCCATTTAAAATAAATTTACACATTGCAAACAGTACTTACAATCCACGTAAGAGGTCAAAATATGCAAAATTAGCCCTTACTGTGTCAGTCATGCAGTAGAAATATGGTGATAATTAAGTACAGCAAAAACCATTCACTCATTGCAAATCACATGTAAATAATTACTTGAATGATGATTCTTTATTATGATTTTAATTTCTTTAAAAAATTTGGCTCATCTGCGAGGCATGCAACTTTAAGTTTCCTTTTATCATTAACCATCAGTACATTATGATTAAAAGAAAGATTTGAACAATTTACTGATTATTTATATGTTGTTATAAAAAGCACATACATTGTATCTATAATTAACATCAATGCAATGTGTAAAATATTGAAATATTTATAATAATGCATGCAATCTTCAAATGTCATTCATCGTTTTTCATCAGAATTGTCTAGGTTACATAAGATTCTGAGGTTGTCATATATTGTGGAAAGCAATTGCCAGAATTTCATAGTCATTTTATAAGGTGTTAAATATAAATTGATTTCATTAACTCATTTTTAATTGTGTTCTCTTGATATAAAGTATCATAGTTCTTATTGCCAAAATTAGTGGGGTGTTTTCTGTTTGAGGCATTTCCATTTGCTTGAAGAATGCATTTTTGATCAGTTTTTAATCATTCTGTTCTGCCAAATTAAATGTTACTTGGTGCTTTTCTTATAGAAAAAGCTGTTAAACATTTTTATACCTAATTATTTATTGAATGATTCACCTTCACTGTATGCATGTAAAGAAATTGATAAATTTATATTCATCTCATCTGTCTTGCTGCTGGAACTACATTTGTATAATAATAGCGTTAGGACATTTCTAAGAAATGCAAGTGATCACTATGTTGTAATTTCGTGGTCTCACGCTGTAGGGCGCCAGACAAAATCATGGAAATACAATCACTTTGTCATATATTTGTGTTTTTGCCTTTTGCTCTGTTGGGCAGGAGGTGAAAACACAAAAAGTAAACAAAGTGACCCATTTGTCTGCTTTTGCTACTCTTGATGCTCTGCAAAACACTAAATTACGACAAAGTGACCACTTTATCGTACTTTCACTCTGGGGGGCACCAGGGGAAAAGATGAAATACGACATAGTCTTTTTGTATGACAATTTAGCAAAAAAACAGGTCCTTTTGTTGTTGTTTTTTTCTTTCTTTTTATTTCCAAAGAAAAGCAGATTTTTCACATATATATATAGTAATAAACATTGAATATTGATAGGTATTGCATTGGATACAGTAGTATAAATATTGTTAATGCATCATACACACCTACATTTGTCAAATTTATCATACATGTATGAATTAAAGTACATGTACAAATTGTGTATAATGCATGTGATGTACCCACAATGTTTTTGTTGTTTTAAGGTTATCCAAAGTGAACTTATCTGTATTTAAGTTAGTTGTTCATACTTGTTATTGCAAATTTTTAACCATGAGTGTTGTGCCTTTAAGAATTCCACTTCATTCAATTGTCTTGTAAATATTTACAAGAATTGTTAATGTAACCTCTGTAATAATTCTTGCCTATAAGACTGTAATGAATATTGTCCTAAAAAAGTCAAAGATTTATATATTCTGGAAAATCATTTTTATTTGTGGGGAATTAATTTTCATAGTCTTTCCTAAGGTCAGCCGCACATTTAAGATCCAATGAAAATTCTTTAAGACTGCTGTAAGAGTATTTTGCATTACTTTATTTGATAAATACTTTTTTTGCACAAATAGACAATCCAAAATTTAAGAACTGTTGAATATGTCCTTTGTGATAAACTCATAAAATTTCATTCCAACGAAATTAGGTGAACAAACTTTATAGATTATTTCTGGATTCAGGATTTTATAGACTAACTGTATTTTACCATATACCATTCATCATTTATATTCTTAATTTATTGCTGTAGTCATAGGCACAGTTCTTTATTTAATATGTTACTTTGATCTTTGGTTGAATAATCTGTTTATAACAACAATAGATTATAATGATAACATAAGAGCATAAATAAAGAACAATGTCAAGTCATCATGTTGTTTTAAACATTATATGTATTTATACACCTAGCTTTTTTAACACATGAACATTTTTTAAGTGGCTTTACATCATTATTTTATTTGGTTTGTTCATATTTCTTCATTTATTTGGACCTTGTTAGGTGTAAAATGAGTAAGATCCAATTTCTATAAACTTTCAGAAGAAGTAAATTCAGTCTTCATTGAACATGTTTGAAATAGGAAAAAGGTCTTGCCACACTCTGTAAACCATTTGAGCTGCGTCACGACAAAACCAACATAATGGGTTTGCGACCAGCATGGATCCAGACCAGCCTGCGCATCCGCACAATCTGATCAGGATCCATGCTGTTCGCTTACAAAGTCTATAACAAGTAGTGAAACTAATAGCGAACAGCATGGATCCTGATCAGACTGCGCGGATGCGCAGGCTGGTCTGGATCCATGCTGGTCGCAAACCAACTATGTTGGTTTTGTCGTGACGCGGCTCATTTGTTGAGATATGAGATTAAAACTTTGTGTGTTCATTATTAAAAGGTTGTTAAATCTATAAAAGAAGCTTTTTTATACATTTTTGTAGATATATATATATATTGTTTGATTTATTTTTGTTAGTTTCTTTGTTATTATTAGCTGGATACTAAGTATAAGACGCGTTCTTGATTTTGAGTCTTATAGAACTTAGTAGAAAGTTTGTCTTATAGCTGAGTATTTAGTTTAAACATGTACTTACGGGAAGACAAGTGATTCTTTTTTAAATGCATTGTATAGTGAAACCTGTCCTGAAAGGCCAGTTTGAGAATATAAGAAATGGCCTCTCAGGAAGTGCTTTTTAAAAAAAAATCTTTAAAGAACAATCTCAAATGTTTGTGGGAAGAAAGAAAAAAAAATAGTGAAATTAATTTGAATGGATCAGTCTTTTTGATATACATGTATGTACAACCAGTTCAAGCAAGGTACAGTCAAGCCTGTTTGCAAAGACCAGTCTGAATGTAGGGAGTTGTCTTTCCTGACAACTGATTTATATCAAGTGACATGCCTCCAGATGAAAAAAAAAAATATTTATGATTTGCAATGGTTAAGAAATATATTAAATTCATAATTCAGCTGAAAAATGAATTTATAATGCAAAATGTGACAGATTTTACTTGATGTATTTTATCATCATTTTTTTACCCAAATTTTTGCCCTGTAAACTGATAGAGGAAGATAATTTCTGCATGTTTTTACATGTGACAGGTAATTTATGGGGACAATGATTTCACATGATGTTTAACAGTATTGACATCATTTTTACCGATATACAATGTATATATAATTCTGAGATTTTCATTATTTAAAAAAAATCTGGAGCCATTCTGCTTTTACAGATACCACTGTAGTGAAGTAGGAAATAATTGAAACATTGGCCTATTGCGAAAAAGATTTTTTTATATGTGGCCTTATTCTATTTTCAATCAGAGGTGGTCTTTCAAACAGGGTTTGACTGTACTTGTTTGAACACTATTATGCTACTGATATTGTATATTGTGTTCTTTTACCAATAAACATTCCTAACAAAACATTATTGTTCATCATGATATTCCTCTAACAGAAGAATAAAATGTTTCTCCTGTGCCCCAGTACTAGACCAATGCAGAACTTCATCGATTCCTTTTCCTTATTTATTGTGTTAATTTTCTTATATAAACCAAAAAGTATGTTAGGTTAGCCAGTTAACTGCCCTAAATGAGCCTTCATTGCATAATTCTAGCCAGTGTCAGGCCCTTATATATTTTAGCTACCTTTGCAATGTTTCAGTCTCTAGTGACCTAAATGAGTCTCCTTGCCTCTCTAGTGATAGCAAATGATATTTAATTAATCCAAGGGTCATTGGTTCTAACATCAGACGACGCATAATTTCTCAAGACAATTGATGTCGAACATCGCGTTAACGGTCATTTGTCACACACCATAGATTATACGTCATGTGACATCAGTAGTCCCTCACTTGCAGAAAATTAGTTATTACTGTTAGTTATTCAGCTAAGTTGGTTAGATGGACTAATCACCAAGATACATGTAGGATGTCAAAAAATGTGTTGAAACCAGTATAAACCCAGACAGACAAACCTAAACCTTCAACAGCCAAATGCCAAGCTATTCTCAGTCAACAATGCAAACCATTATGGTTGATGTCCATTTCAGGTTTGGTATTAATTGGGGAATCAAATTATGTGACAGTCAATTTTATAAGCCAACCCTTAGCGCTACCCAGGGGCAATATGAGGGATAACTGAGATACCAGCAGAGTTTTAATTACCCTGTCTTCACACGGCAAGGTCAATGCAGTGGTTTTAGGGTAAAACATGCAGTGTGTAGGAATTTAATACTGAATTTACCATCTTTATCATATGTTTAAAAGAATGACTTAGCTTTTTCCTGGAGAAAGGGGTTACTAATGAACTAAAACAAAAAGAAAATCATCATTTCAACATGTATTTAATTACAGTACAAGCAGTATAAAATGGTTCTATAACATGTACAAAAAATATTATTTTTTCATTTTATGAAAACAATAAACACCAAGCTATATATGACAAACATTCCCTGTATTATTAGAACATCAGTAACACATTTCAGTCACTATCTTTATACAGGATATTGAATGAGTGTTTGAATGAATTTTAATGAATTGAGAAGCAATTGTTTTGAAGTTAGCATCTTCAACCATTCAAAAACAATGACATTAAAGTATACCTACTTCTATTTATAAAGAAATATATCTTACAAATTCACATAATATTTTCAATATTTTCTCACAGGAAATCCTTTAAAGACAATCAATTAATACTGTCAACAGATACATCAAAATTACAACTGTACCGCCAACAGAAACAACAAAATTATACACTAATCTTTTCACCTTTGGTGAGTGAACAAATAAACAAATGAAAACAATAACAAAATATTTTTAATTTTAAATCATATTAGGTTTTATATCTATTAACTGTTCTAAATTATTGCCAATAATTGTTATTTGGAAGGGACACAGATTTACTAATCAAAGGAGTAGTGTCACCATTTCTAGTATATTTGCTATTTTGTCTGGAGATAATTGTTCCATTATTAGCGTTCTAGTATCATTAATAATAAATTGCATTAAAATCTGCAAAATAGATTATCTCAGATTTTGATTTTTACCGGGACATAAATCCTCTCTGGGGCACACATCTGATTTCCAGGACAGTTTCCACGTCCAGACATTATGGCATGTGTGCATTAACATAACTTTACTTTTCACAATCAAACCATTCCCAGTATTTTGGTAACTTGTCCTTTACCATTAAAGGCCCATTAAGCAAAAATAGTTTTCATATCCAAGGCTTGATGCGCCTTTAAGACTGGTAATGATTTTCCTTAAAATTACCTTTACCATTAAAGGCCCATTAAACAAAAAAGTTTTCATTTCCCAGGTTTGATGTGCCTTTAAAATTGTTAATGATTTTTCTCAAAATTAAGAAAAATACGCAAGATTACAGAGAAAGTTATCGTAATTTTTGGATCATGCTATAAAATTTGTTTATCACAATAAAAACAGCATAGTTTTAAATATGAACACCTGCTTCTGTATATGTTTTTAGTGAATTTGCATAATTTCTAGATAATACACCAGTCAAAATTATGGAATTTCACTTTAAACGTTTCTATTGATAAGAAATTATAAAACAAAATTTAAGCCTATATAATATAAACAAGGTGACCTTTTTGAAGGAGGCAATTTTGATTAAAAAATAATCAAAGGGCCGTAATTTGAATAAAATTTGGTTAACAGTCACTATAATGCTAGGGGCCCTCAATGGAATGTATGTGTATTAATAATTTAATATATAATGATTACTATAAATTTCCCCTATGGGGACACAGTATCCATTCTAGGATGGGGGATGGGGAGATTCACTCATGTTTTTGAGAATTCCACCCTATTTTTTCAGAGGCAGGGGGAAAATTTTACATAGAGAAAGAAGGAAAAAGACCATCAAATGTAAAAAATTCTCATTTTTCAATTAAAATCCCCCCTATTTTTCAAATCCTAGAATAGACACTGGGGATATGATTAACAATGTATATGGCAAAAATAGTAAAGGTAAAAATAAAAATATACGTAGAATACAAAAAATATTTGCAACAATTATTAAACACTTTACAAGTATGTAAACAAAATGTTAATCCGGATTTCTACATGAATACATTCGTTAAAGCTCCTCGTGCTTTTTTGCTGGAGGGAAATCCCAAAATTTTGTAGGTTTGTTATTTACGTCTCTTTCTCGTTTAACGAAAGCTGTGAACGTAGATATACAGTTTCCTATAAAATAATCGGAGGCACCTAGGACCGCTAAATCCACATGGGGATGTGGTGGCTCGTGCTTCACAAATTTTACCTGAAATTTACAAGATATTATTTTTGCACAACATGCAATGTTTCTCTTCTTTATTTAAATAAATGAAAATTGTTTGTTTGATTGGGTTTTACGTCATATGGACACAGTATAGGTCATAAGGCGACATTCCAACTTTACTGGTGGAGGAAGACGTCAGGTGCCTTCCATGCATTATTTCAGGCACCAACGGGCACCTGAGTAGAACCACCGACGTTCCGTAAGCTAGCTGGATAGCTTCCTCAGATGAAAAATTCCAAAGTCCCTGTCAGAATTCGAACCCACAGCAGTGAGGGGCAAGTAGTTTGAAGTCAACGACCTTAACCACTCGGCCACAGACGCCCAAATAAAAGTTTTTAGAGAATGTTAGATACTGTTTACATGAAAAAGGAGCCATACTTGTGAAACAGTTTATCTTAAAAGAAGAAATGTGGAAACATTAAATGAACATGTTATTGTATCAAACCAAGTCCTAAATTAATCAAAGACAAAAGCTGGCTGCTACCACATTCTCTCCAGATTGTTTGACCAAAGTTCATGACCACTGTTTCATTTTTTTTGTCTTTTAAGAATTCAACAAATGCCTTTTAAAATGCAGTCCTTGACCCTGGACAAAATAATCGTACACCCTGAGTAGGAGTATTAAGCACTCTAGCTCTGTACCAAATATCTAGGGAATCTGTAAATAAATGAAAGTACTATGGGCATGACAGAATTATGGAAAGGCAAACTCAAGCCGTTATAAGGGCACAGCATAAACTTTTCTGGTTCAAACTGTCCAGTTAGCTCAAAAGTTAGAGCGTTGGATTGTGAATCAGGCAAACCGGGTTCGTTTCCCAAAACATTGATAAACAAGAGCCCGGTTTGAGCCGGGTGATGCTCCCCGAATAGGTTTTGGACACAGGAAAGTACACCTCTTGTAGTTTCAGAGTTATGTCCCTGGAAAAAGGTTCAAAGTGCAATAATTCCAAAATTAGGAAAGGCAGAGTTACTGTTCTTTCCACTGCACTTCTAATCACTGTTATCTATCAACTTACAAAGTTTCTTGTTGATATCTCTTATGGTTTCCGAATTATGTTCCGGACAACTTCAAAAAGTAAAAATAAACAAATGGCAATAACTCCAGAATTAGGCAAGGCAGAGTTATGATTCTCGTGCACTGCACATCTACCCAATGAGATACATCTACCTACAGAGTTTCATGTTGATATCTCTTATAGTTTTACAGCTATGTCCAGTACAAGATTTTTCTAAAAGGGGAGATTATTCAAAAATGAGGCTTAACAGAGTTATGGTTTTTTTGCACTGCACTTCTACTCAATGAGATCTATCTACCTACAATGTTTCATCTTGATATCTCTTATAATTTTAGAGTTATGTTCCGGACAAAGTTCAGTGTTAAAATTAACAAAGGGCAATAACTCCAAAATTAGGACAAAAAGAGTTATTGTTCTTATGCACTGCACATCTACCCATTGAGATCTATTAACCTACAAAGTTTCATGTTGATATCTCTTATAGTTTTAGAGTTATATTCCGGACAAAGTTCAAAGTGTTGAAATTAACAAAGGGCAATAACTCCAAAATTAGGACAAAAAGAGTTATTGTTCTTATGCACTGCACATCTACCCATTGAGATCTATTAACCTACAAAGTTTCATGTTGATATCTCTTATAGTTTTAGAGTTATGCCCCGGACAAGATTTTTCTATAAGGGGAGATAATTCAAAAATGAGGCTTAACAGAGTTATGGTTCTTTTGCACTGCACTTCTACTCAATGAGATCTATCTACCTACAATGTTTCATCTTGATATCTCTTATAGTTTTAGAGTTATGTTCCGGACAAAGTTCAAAGTGTTAAAATTAACAAAGGGCAATAACTCCAAAATTAGGACAAAAAGAGTTATTGTTCTTATGCACTGCACATCTACCCATTGAGATCTATTAACCTACAAAGTTTCATGTTGATATCTCTTATAGTTTTAGAGTTATGCCCCGGACAAGATTTTTCTATAAGGGGAGATAATTCAAAAATGAGGCTTAACAGAGTTATGGTTCTTTTGCACTGCACTTCTACTCAATGAGATCTATCTACCTACAATGTTTCATCTTGATATCTCTTATAGTTTTAGAGTTATATTCCGGACAAAGTTCAAAGTGTTGAAATTAACAAAGGGCAATAACTCCAAAATTAGGACAAAAAGAGTTATTGGTCTTATGCACTGCACATCTACCCATTGAGATCTATTCACCTACAAAGTTTCATGTTGATATCTCTTTATAGTTTTAGAGTTATGCCCCGGACAAGATTTTTCTATAAGGGGAGATAATTCAAAAATGAGGCTTACAGAGTTATGGTTCTTTTGCACTGCACTTCTACTCAATGAGATCTATCTACCTACAATGTTTCATCTTGATATCTCTTATAGTTTTAGAGTTATGTTCCGGACAAAGTTCAAAGTGTTGAAATTAACAAAGGGCAATAACTCCAAAATTAGGACAAAAAGAGTTATTGGTCTTATGCACTGCACATCTACCCATTGAGATCTATTCACCTACAAAGTTTCATGTTGATATCTCTTATAGTTTTAGAGATATGCCCCGGACAAGATTTTTCTATAAGGGGAGATAATTCAAAAACCGGGCAAAATAGAGTTATGGTTCTTTGACACTGCACTCCCCCTCAATGCCCTCTACCACTGTATGAAGTTTAAACAAATTATCTCCAAGGGTTTTCAAGTTATGCTCCGGACAAGAAAACGGACGGACAGACGGACGGACGGACGGACAGACAGACGGACAGACGGACAAGGCGCCGACTATATGCTCCCCCGAAATTTTTCGGGGAGCATAAAAAAACCAACTCAAAAAGCATATTCGCATAACATTGACAAACTTACCTTTTCAAATTTTTTGGATAATTTACTTTTAAGATCTTTGCTATCAGTTGCTATAAATACTGCTGTACACCCTGTTAAATATATAAAAAAGAAAGTCATATATCATATAAAGCATAGAAAGTAATTAATTGTCATCTGGCAAAACTTTATACTGTTTGCTAAATGATTTTGATATTTCAATGTTGAAATGACATAAAGGGACTCCCCTGAAATTTATTGACACAACAAGACTGAATTTTTTTTTCCGTAAATTTTTGTACTTGATGCCGGTCTTGACTAATAATTGCTATGCAAAATGTTACTCATTCAATGTGTTTTTCCAGAAGTATTATTTTAATTCTGTAAAATGACCTACAATGTAATACGTTTAAACTCTTCTGCCACAAAACGGGATAAGAATCCCACTAAAATGTATTTTTCTATTTTATTCAGAGGATATTTCTGTATAACATGTATTATTACTATAATATATCATATACACTGGAACCCCGTTGTATCGATTTATTTACCCATAAATCCAAACTGCAGTTAAAAAAATTAAATTTCCCTGAATCTTTATTTTGTATCATTTATTTTGATCCTTTTGCCATTATAATTACATGGCAAACATCACTGATATATAGTATTTAGCTTTGAATATACTGATATTTACAGATATGTCAAACAGGTTGAAGAATTAGGTCACGCCATTATATTGATGCATTGTGAGAATCGCTCAGTTAGTCAAAGTTTTGGAAGCCTGAACCATCTTTATGTTCGATTTTTCAGTAAATTAGAAACATAGTTGTCTGTTTTAAAATGTCAGCATAAATTTAGGAACTTTTAACAGACAGTAAATGTACTTTTATTAAGAACACATTATTTATAAGTCTCTTTATTGTCTACAATGTCTTACGGTACTGGAAACATGTTTTTGATCATTTTACTGCACAAAAACAATGCGAAAGATTTTCGTGACACTGTTACAAATTTTAACAATCAGTAGGTGGCGAATTTTGCAAAAAATCTATACATTTGTAAATAAATCGATACAATGAATAGCACGATACAATGGGGTTCCACTATACAGTATTTGTCCATTTGAATGTTGTTTTGTTTGCATGATTCGAGCATTATACCTTCAGAATTGGGTAATTTTGTCACCTCAAAAGAGTTGTTCCTTTAAAATATCCATAGCAGTTTCTAATTTAAAGTTTGGCAGGAATCAAACAAACAGAGCATGTGAATGAAATATTTTTAATAATAAACTATGTTTGTTTTTATAATTGTTTGCTTTTAAACAAAAGAGTTAATAAATGCAAATTGCATGAAATTTTTCCTTACCATTTTTCGTCATCACTGTTATGAAATATTTCTATTATGTGACAACAGCATAGAGTTAGGCATGGACATGTGCTTCTGTATGTTTTGGGTGAATTTCCATAATTTCTACACATTAATTTAATAAGTCAAAATCATCAATTTTTTTTTAATTGTGTATAAATTATTAATCTATAGAAAAATATTGATAATAAATAGATATTGTATCTATCGATGACAGCTCTGGCATCATATCAAAAATTTCCCCAAAAACCATTATATGACATCTTCCCCAACAGCATCATATTACCCCCAACACTTACCAGTATCTTTTATAAGTTTTCCTAGATCTCTGACAATAGTATCCTCAGACTGGTAACACATCTCTTGTGAAGCTTTCCCATATCCTAGACACTGTACAGCAGCAAACATGTTCGGACTTTTGTCAATATGTCTACAAGCATTCTCCTGTATAAAATAAAACACTTTTCAAATTTCTTTCCCCAACTGTTTCAATTCTAGTTAAATATGTTCACTAACAAGAGCTGTCAGTAGGACATTGTGCCTCACTATTCTCAGTGCTTGATAGTAAAACAAGAGCTTGGAAAATGTAGAATTTTAGAAAGTTAAACTAGAAATATGTCAATAGGACACAGGTGCCCCAAACTCCACTGTCTTGTCAATCTTGTAACTCTAGGTCAAATATTTTTTGGGCTACCTGGCCACAAGTTGAAAACTAAAAATCTTTTACTTAGTAAAGGGCAAGAACTTTATGAATACTGAATAAATCCACAAGCAAACCCCAAGGTGCATAAGTACACATGCTGACCAAATACTTTTTGAGCTATGCATGAACAAGTTGAAAATTGCAAATTTATACTAAATCAAGGGCAATAACTCTAACAAAACTAAAAAAAAATCCACATGCAAAATCCCAGGTGCATAGATTCACAGTGATGTTGATTATTATTCCTGTAAAGATGGTTGATTCTAACTCAAGCACTCAAGGAACAAATAACACAACATAATGAAACAGTTTTTACTAAGTCAAGGGCAATAACTCTAAAAATACTGGATAAATCCACACGCTAAATCCAAGGTGCACAACTACACATGCTGACCAACAGTCCTGCTAAGTTTGATGACACTAGGTTAAATGCATTTGGAGCTACACACAACACAAATTGAAAATTTTCACTAAGTCAAGGGCAATAACTCTGACAAAACATATAAATTCACAAGCGAAACCCAAGGTGCACAACTTCACAAGCTGATCAACATTCTTGCTAAGTTTTATGACTTTAGGTCAAATATTTTTTGAGCTAGGCATGGCACAAATTGAAAATTGTAAATTTTTACTAAGTCAAGGGCAATAACTTTAAAAATACTAAATATATCCACATGAAAATACCCAGGTGCACAACAACACATGTTGATCAAAATTCCTTGTAAGTTTCATGACTCTAGGTCAAATACTTTTTGAGATACATGCGACACAAGTTGAAAATTGCAAATTTTTACTAAGTCAAGGGCAAAACAGAATAAATCCACAAGCAAAACCCCAGGTGCACAACTTCACATGCTGAGCAATTTCCATGCAACACAAGTTGAAAATTGCAAATTTTTACTATGTCAAGGGAAATAACTCTAAAAATACTAAATAAATCCACATGAAAATACCCAGGTGCACAATTACATATGCTGATCAACATTTTTGTTTTGGAGGTACAGACTTGCACGCATAACTTAACCAAAAGTGTGACAGTGACAGTGATGCTGGGCTGAGTACAATAGTTATCCCTATTCATCCAATAGTCTGGCTATAAACAAACAAATGTCCTTGATGTATAATGCTTATACTTTTTCAATAGGAATATACAGCAAATAAATTAGAAAAAAAAATCCTGCTCATTATGGGAATTCAAACTCCTGTACTGTAGTATAGGCAGCAAACAAAAATAAATACATGTTTAACTTTTTCAACTACTAAGCCAAAGAATTCATTCCCTGGCACAGTCGTCAAACTTTATATTCAAAGAAACGAAACCCTGGATGTGTACTCAACCGTAACACTTACAAAATCTGACCCAAGTCGTAGATGGATACCAATAAACTTCTTATCTCCAATATTGTCTTTTATAAATTTATCTCTTTGTCCAGCAATGTTTTCTGACCATTTAATATACTTCTGTAGACCAACATTTTGCTGCTGAACTGGGAAAGTTGCTGGGGCACCAGTAAATGCTAGAACAGGCCAATCTTTTCCAGGATACCTGCGGAAAAACACAACAACAACAAATGAATACATTATGAAGTACAGGGTCTTTGTTAAGCTACTTCTCTGAGTATTGACGCTTTACCATACATCATTTAGTATAATAAATCTTGCAGAATCAGAATTAAGGACTGATAACAATCGTTCATCAACTATTTGGTTACTTATGCCAGGGTCTTTCAAATAGACAGTACTGCAGTAAACATGTTCAAACTTAAGGCAATATATCTACATGCATTTTTCTATTAAAAATAATAAACCAACTGTTCTTTTTTCTCCTTGCCTCTCTTTCAAATTCTCACTTCTAGTCAAATATATTCACTAACAAGAGCTGTCAATAGGACTTGATAGTTAAACAAGAGCCTGGATATTACAATGTAAATTCTCTTTAGTTAAAACAAATGGCCACAATTGATCGAAAAATCGAAATCAAAGCAAATTTTTGAATACACTGTGCAACTTATGACAGAATTGACAATTCTTATCACAAAAATTCTACCCTTGCAATTACAGAGTAAAGGAGAGTGTTTTTTTCTTCAATATTTTAACTGATATATGTAATTCATGTGAATTGTTAATGCTTTATGCAAGGTTAAATTACGTTACTTGTACACTTGGCAACATTTTTACCCATAAGAATAATTTTAAGTTTTCCTAAAAATTAAAACATTTCTAGAGGCATGCTTCTTTACAAACTGTACACTACAAACTGTACACCAACCTCTCTTTCCATCTGTTTATTTCACTAGGTGAGGTATCATGGTATAGAGGTTGGTAAAATTCTGATTTGTCAAATTCCACATTAAATGTATCCCAAAATGGGCCAAAAGGATTCCCTTCCTTAGCATTGCAATCATTTTCTTTAGCACCATAAGTCCTTGCTTGATAACACAGAACTGAAAAATAAAACAAGAACTGTCTGAGGACAGTAAGGCTCGACTATTCGAAAAAGTTGTCACAAGGGTGTTTAATTGAGTATAATAATGCTTATCTATGAATACATAAAATTGACCAAAAAGGTACAAAGGCTTGTTATTAAGATGTTTATCAAGTAAATCACTGCTTTATTATTATGAATGCATAAAATTGTCCAAAAAAAGGCACAAACCCTTCATAGACGGGTTTGATTTTCAGAAAAGACCCTCCGTTAAGAGTCTAACGGCATTTTTTAGTACAAGCAGGTAGTCAATCGTTTTTACATAATTCGGGTACGCTGAATCCATTTTTTGCTCTACCACGGCTGTACTCGAAGTCCTTGACCTTCTAAAGGTCAAATCAAAATGGCCGCCATTGTCCTTTACCATCTACTTAAAAAATTATTATTTCTGGTACATATCGTATCGTATGTCCGTTAATCTACATGGAATAAAGTTTCAATTACTTTTAGGAATAATTGGCTGATAATTATACATGCTTTACACATTGACTGCTGTGCCGGCCATCTTTGATTTCAAAATGGACACCTTTTTTAACAAATATAAGTAAAGTGCTTTTAAACAAATGGATCCTTCTGAGTATCAAAATTGTAAAATGATATAAGCAACATGTCATGTCGAATGGTACACACTGTGTCATTTTATAATTCGAATCAAGGTCAGTATGTAAATATTTTAAATATTGCCTGTCATCTTCACAGGTCAGCGACTATGTCTCTGGGCCCGCATGTCTTTGCAACAATATCTATTGTACGACCCGATTTAAAATAGAAAAAAGCAACAACAACAGAATCCCTAAAAACAATAAAAACGGCAAAATTAAAATGTTGTAGGCTCGATTTGATTGAGCCTGTACATAGACGTTACTTGAAATTGCAAGGTACCGTCCAAGCACCCTAGCGCCGGCCTACGCAAAATTCATAAATCAAAGGGGGAATTGCGAAATTTGGAATTTAGAAATATCCGCAGAAGTGTTTATACGATATTTATTTTATTGTTGTATTGATATAGCTCCTTTATAAAGGGTCGTATTTATCAATCAAACTTTAAACATGCCTAGACATGGTTAAAACAGATCATCTATTTATTAATTGAAATAAACTCAAATAAATGGTAAAGTCATTTTAATCTTTATTATCTTTCACTTTGAAAAAAGTATCGCAAACATGAACCATAAATAGTCTACGAGGTTGCACTGTCTTACGGTTAGAGAATAATGTAGAGTAAAACATTATAGGTCTAACGAGGGTATTTGATAATGGTACATGCATAGAAGATTAGACAGATAATTGATACCAATTCTGCAATTAATACTAGTATATTGACGATTCACTGCTGTTTACCCTTTTTTATTAACACAGAATGTTTTGATAGAGCATTTTGTTTTTTTGCTACTACATGTAAATCATGTAACATATGCCGTCGAAGCCTATGTCTTTAAATTTTATTAACTTAACTGATAATAGGAGATTTTTTGGTTTTGTCTAAATTCATTGATATTTATTCATTCATTGTCTAAGTTAATATTAACGTCTTTATTATAATTATGTTACTTTGCCAAGGACGCTGCGCCTTATTCTATTTCATGTTTTAAAATCATTCAAGTGACTAAGATATATTCAAATCTTCATACTTAGTATGTTCTTGTATTGGCTATCTTTCAAGAAATTGATGAGTATCTTATTCCATTATGATATAACATATTTTGATGTCATTTGCCACAATATAATTATTTAATCTCATATTTTTTCTACTATCACTTCATAATATTACTTTGGTATTTCTTAGTGTAACTTTAGTCACTAAAATGTGTACCAACTATTTTTGCACTATCCTGACAATTATGTAAAACAAAGATAAACAAGGGTGTGCCACTTTCCTTGTTAATCTTGTTTTCCATTTTTTACATTGAAGGCATGGTTACTGTAGTCTTACAAGTTTTACAAACATTAGAAACATTAAGAAGCATTTATTTATATCTTCAGTAAACCTTATTATTTTAAAAAGCATCCATGATTAAATGACAAAGATACAGACACAACCATCAATGTTCTAAATTGACCTATCTAGCTATCAACCTAATGTTTAAGCATTACAAGTAGTCCTAATGTGCCACAAATGTATGCCCAGTTATGCCAATATCCATCTAATAAATGACAGAATTCATGACCGGACATGACCTTCAAAATATGACCTTTAATGTCTGAAATCTTACTTTATGCGACAATTCTTTTCTCACTCAAGACAAATTGTTTCAAAGTGCCACGTATTTATTCTTATCTCTCGCTGAATAAAACATAAATGGACTAGACATGGCCACAAATGCACTCTCATACCATGACTTTTGAAATACAAGTATGACCTTAAAACATTTGTCCGCTACATGTCGTCTTACAAAGAGGCACCATATTTATCCCAAATGATTTTTAATTCATCCATAAATGACAAAATCGTTAACCAGACTTTTTAGACACTTTAAGGAAATATTTTGTTCGAAGTGAAAGTATGATTTTGATCTTTGATTTACCTCATCAGATGGGTTAACATGTGACTCATTGTCCCAATGTGCCATATATTTATGCAGAATTATTATTTCAAGAGGCATCAATTAATGAGAAAGTTATAGATCGTACACAACCACCTTGTTACGTTTATATAATGATTTTATGATATAGAAGTTTAACTGTAGACATAACACGACCTTAACAAATTACACATTTACGCAGTTATTGTCGTTCCAGGACGGCGGCATATACAATTAACAAGATTTAAATATTTTTACCTGTACACCGCCTGCTCTAGGTCAATCAAAACAGATAATTTAATACCACATGATAACAAAATAGACGACAAAAGTCCTAACACAGGGGCAACAACCACCATGTTCTTGTCGGGTTACCTATACAAGCAAATGAAATACTATCCTCATGCACGAAGCTCGGCACTAGTATTTAGGGGCTTCCATGGGATAAACACCATATGGAATATTCCTCTTACAAGAAGAAACATTAACTGTATTATTCAGGAAAGTAGTCTATTTCATGAAAAAAAAATTATATTTTTCGAATGGATGGCGATTCCTATATCACTTTTGGAAATACTAAGACATTTTTTTAAATAGAAAAATTGTTGATCGGGTTCCCCACTAATGAACCTTTACCAACTTGTCTTTCTTGATAGACATGACCCTGAATTGGCTCTCAATCACTACACGTCCCAGTACATGTTCTTGCGCAATTGACATTGACATAAGAAATAACCAAACAATTTTCATGGTATCCCTGTTTGAAGATTAAGTAATAATATATAAAGTATATCATTTCCCAATCCGTTATAGGCGGTATATTTATGATTAATTATTTCAAAATTCATCTCTAAATGACAGAATACTTAAATGCACATCTTTTTTCAAGCACTTTTAAGTCTAACTTGAAGAGTTGAGCTTCAAACCTGGGTCTTTCTTATGACATATCAATGTGCCACACATTAATGCAATTTTTTCAAAATCTATAAAAAAAAATGATAGATATGGACGAGATTAAAAACGGACAGACAGGGACAAGCTCTTACTGAGAGATTTGTGAAGATGTCTGTTATCTTCATGTTTGTTTCTTACTCCAAAAGCAACCTTTTGCCTCCCATAACCAATGATTTATCCTATAGATTGGGGGTATACGGAATTAATCTAAACGCCTAATTGTGATCGCAAATACCCCTAACTGACACAAGAGGACGCTCGGACAGATAGACAGACGAACAGACATTTGAGCAGGTCCCCCCTCAGGGCGATACAAATCCAATTTAAAAAACATCGCAATAATTTAAAGAACATGCATTGTATTCTTAGAAGTATAAAAATAACATCTCAATGACAAAGTGAACGCAAATATGACTCTCATTTACGTTGTATTAGGGTATAAATTGTGACCTTTTTGCACCATAAAGTTTGTAGATTTAATGGATGTTTTTCAAAATCTGTGCTTGGAAGTCATAATTAGTATCACTGCACTTCTAATAAAAGAAAACATGCCTGGTAAAATGTCTTCTTGTGCTTGTTTACTTTAATTATAATACAGTGTATAAAACATAGGAAATTGTCAGCCATTTTGAAATCCAAGATGGCTGCTGCAATAAATTTAATTGTTTTTGCATCCATTCTTCTCGTCCACACTTCAGCAGACTAAAATTAACAAAGCCCTAAATTAAAATGAAAAACATATGAATATATCTCGCCCGTGGGAAAATTAAAGTAAAATTAAAAAATTCAATGGCGGCCATTTTGAAATTGATTTTTAAAGGTCAAGGACTAAAAATACAGCCGTGGTAGAGCAAGAAATTAATTCAGCGTACTCGAAATAGGTAAGTAAGCCCAACTAACTGCCTGTACTAAAAAATGCCGTTAGGATGAACATTTTCCCAAAATCAAACCAGTCTATCAGTAGAAATGGAGATAACAGCTTACAAGCAAAACTTTACCATTAATTTCTAAGTTGAAAAAGGGGAGAAAAATCTACCTAAATGCAAGATAGAATTATGGATCTTGGTCAGTGACCTACAATTATGACCCTAAATGCATATATGAAGTTTTAAATAAATATCTTTAATAGTTATTGAGATATGTAAAACTTGCATGTAAACATTAACCAAGAGACTAAGTAGACAAGGGGAGATAAATCAGCCTAAATGCAAGATAGAGTTATGGAACTGGGTCAGTGACATACAATTATGACCCTTCATGCATATGAGAAGTTTCAAATCAACATCTCTGATAGTTATTGACATATTTGACTTTACGAAAAACTTTAACCAAAATTTCTAAGTTAAAAAGGGGCATAGTTCTGTAAATATTGTAGGCAGAGTTATCCAACTTGTCAATCTGATGTACATTGTAACTATAAATAAGTATTGTAAGCTTCAATTGAATATCTCAAGCAATAATTGAGAATTTGACTTTACTAAAAACTTTAACCAATGCCGATGCCCACGCCGATGCCGTGGCAACTACAATAGCTCTCATATTCTTCGAATAGTCGAGCTAAAAACACACAAACTTGCATGTAGGTCTGATTTTTTTTTTCAGTTCTATAGATAGTAATGTCATACACACTGCTTAATAAACGAGTCAATCCATAGAAAAGATATGAATATCATAGCAAACAGGTGTGAAATATCACTGATATTTTTTCAAACCGTACCTTGTCAATTTCCTCAAAGAAAGAAAATAACTCTAACCATTACTTCACATAACCCTGACATGTTTAAAAGTATATTGTGAGAGGCCTGTACAATTCTGTGTTGCTATAACATGTGCAACAATGATAAACAGAGTCAAAAACCTCCTAATGAAGATCATTCAATATAATACTGACAATGTAGGTAAATACATGTAGGTAAATCTGTCAAGTCGGTGAATGTGCTAACTGCATTAAAGCAAATTTAAGAAATTATGAAGATACAATGCTTTTGCATTTACTTTGAACTCATTCAGCAAATCAAGTAAATCTATGAAAAGTTCAAGTACTAGTGGTCTGAAATACAATTCACTGGTATCAGCCACAGCTTCAGGTCATTAGGATATGATGCCTGTCAAAAACCTTACTGGTTTATTGGCTGAGTGGTTAAGGTTACTGGCATCAAATCACTAATCCCTCACCACAATGGGTTTGAATCCTGATAGAGATTGTTTTCATGTAAGGAAAGCTATCCAGGTAGTTAATTGAAGGTCCAGGGTTTAAGCTAACTCTGTAGCCCAGCCCCACTCATGTCTGAAATAATGGACAGATAAGCATATCAGGTTTTTCTCCACCAGTAAAGCTAGAAGGTCACCATCTGACCTGCACAGTGTCAGAAGGTCACTATCTGACCTACACAGTGTCAGAAGTCAAACAAAACAAACATGCATACCTGCTCTCTTCCCAACAGGCCACACTTGATCAGCTAAATGTTTAAAGAAAGATTCCATGGTAATCACTCTATGGAATTGCTTTAATGGTTCCACTTGGAAATATGTGTCAAAAGGGACTTGTACCTGAAATGATTTAATTATAAATAAGTCTGACCATTACAAAATAATCAGGAAATTTATTTCAAATATAAAATATCTGCGTCTGGTGGGTTTTACTTTACATTTGTATTTTAGCAATGAAATGTGAGTTACATGTAAGTTCAAAAGTTAACAAACTGAATTGATTTTTAAAGTTAGCTCTTCAGTTTGAATAAGTACTGTGAAAAAAGAACACCACTACCCGAATCAAGTCAAGTCAATTAAAATCAAGTAAAGTCATATCAAGATATGTCAGACAATTTGTCACATTGCTTTTTAAAGCAGCATGCCTCCAGATTTATGCTAATTTTCATGAAAAGTTGGAAAATGTTTTAAAAAATCAAATAATATGCAGTGAACAAAGAAAATAATTTTTACATTGCAAACAGCATTTACAACCCATGTTTATTAGCAAAAAATGCAACAACAAAAAAGTTTAACTGTTTTAGTAACTCAGTAGAAATATGGTGAAAAATACTGCAAAATTGGTCATTACATGGAAATTATTACTTTTATCTTGAATCTTTTTAGTTTTCTTAAAATCTCAGTACTTTTTTTTCTCAACTTTGTTTGCCTTGAAATAGTTTGATTCATCAGGAGGCATGCAGCTTTAAAGTTTTCTCACATTACTCAGAATTCTAAATGGATCAACTTTATGGCATAATATTTATATTAGAGGTCACTTACTGATCTTGGTGCTGGAAAACGGAACTCAACCCAAGGTGGAAGAACCAATGTCCTATCTAATGCCTTAGCAAACCTGATTGCTCCCAGAAAATGGTCTGCCTGGTTACCAAACCTTCCTGAAAGTAAAGCAATTTCTATATGTAATTTCTTTCAACTCATTGGCAAAATATCTTATTTTTCATCTATTTATAGTAACATGTAACAAAAATTTCATTGTTTTTGTAATAATATCATTAAGATATTTCTTAACATATGAAAATTATATTCAGTTAAAGTGAGTTTAGAACTGAAATCAGGCAACAAAACTTTATTTCCATGAACCAAACTGGCAGTGCTTTTCTTCTGTGAATTTCGGTTTTATAGAATAACTTGTACAAATTTTATCAAATGTTTTCATTGAAAGATTTTTCTTTCTCTCAAGGCCCTTATTACCTTGACTGGGGCTCTAATGTAGGGGACTTTTGCATTGTCTTCAAGAAATACATCGGTAAACTCATAAGTGTTACATATTCTATATGCAAAAAGTAAATTCCAAAAATAATAGATAGATTTAAAAGTGATTAAAAGTATGACTTTAGACACTCACTCACTATATCACAGGGGATTGTGGTTAAGAGATTTTTTTTTCTTTTAGGGAATTTTTATAAGAATAATATAGAAGTTTATTTTGATTAAGGAAGGGATTTTTCAGCACAAAAATTGTGAAACTAGGCTCCTGTTACATGATGCTGAAATTTTCATTTTAATATTTAGGATGCTGGAAATTGAACAAACATATGTAACTTGAATGTATTCCTTACCCATACATGGACAGTACATCACATAGCCATTTGGATCCACTGTAATTTCAGCTTTAATCAACATAGCTGATCCCAGCAGTAGAAGCAGTGTCTGCATAATATCCGCCATCACTCTAGCTCTGTAAAACACAAAACATAGAATCAGTATATATGTATAAATAAACATGTGTCCTAGAAGTTAGAACACAACATAACCTACAGAGGTGTATACCCTAGATGACTCAATGTTGAATCTTGAAATTGAAAATTATGGCTGTTACACTTGATTAAGTATGTATTTTAGTCATTCCTGCAAGTGAAAACAAAAATGGCAGAAGCGTTCAAGATATGATATAGATAAGTTGAACTAAGTTGAAAAGATTGTATGATGCGAGACTTGGCACACACTGACCTCATTCAAATGTGCAATCTGCAAAAAATTATGCACGACTCGCGCGGCCTATATGTAACACTGAAACTTGGCTTCTGATTCTAATTTTCACATATAAAATGAACATTTGAAATTTTTCATAGAAGCTGTTATGCTGGAGCAGTTTATCTGTGTATGGACACTAATTCTAACACAATTTTGCTCATTTTGTATTTTGGCAATCTGATTCAGTCCACTTAACCTGCTTCCTGGATAACTTACCACTAATTACCAATGTCTCTACAATTAATAGTTCTGGCTACCAAAACTTTATAAGCCACTTTTTAACATTTGAGCTGCGTCACGACAAAACCAACATAATGGGTTTGTGACCAGCATGGATCCAGACCAGCCTGCGCATCCGCGCAGTCTGATCAGGATCCATGCTGTTTGCTTACAGACCCTATAACAAGTAGAGAAACTGATAGCGAAAAGCATGGATCCTGATCAGACTGCGCGGATGCAGTGATTTTATTTCATTTATTTTACAGCCGAATAAAGGCTGTTTCCCCTAGCCAAAAATAGGTATATTTTCCCCTAAAGATGCTAATATTTTTCCCTAAAATGCCCTGTGCACATTCTTCACCAGAACCATGACTTAACAGCATCTGACTTATATCAGCTAGAAGATAAAGCTGTTCCTATAGATAGCCTCTGCTATGTACCATGCATGTTAAATTGAAATGAAATTGAAAATTTTATAAAATGTTGGGTAAATTCCATTCTCAGTTGTTGGTATTTCATTTCCCCTTTTCTGATTTATCGCGCTATATTTTCCCCTTCAGAAGGCCACAGGTTGTTTTGAAAATTGCAAAGAAAATCACTGGGATGCGCAGGCTGGTCTGGATCCATGCTGGTCGCAAACTCATTATGTTGGTTTTGTCGTGATGCGGCTCATTTTTGGTTTTCATCTGAAGTTTTGGATCAGACGCGTTATGAAACCTAACCAGAATAGTATATGTTAATCATTTGCAAATATCCTTGTACCAATTAATTCTTGTGCATTTTGTGATAAAACAATTATTTAAATCTTGTTCAACTTCTATACCATTTAAAGTATCAAAATATTAATATTTAACTGTGAAACATCAATTAACCCGACTTCTGTCATCCATGACATTAAGGAGCTACCAGAGATCTTGTATGACATACTATATTTATTAGATAAAACGTCAATTTTTTCTGAAGAAGACTAAACGTCGAAAGCTTAAGAAAAGCGTTTGTTTTTATTGAACTGATTTTATATTAATACTATATTTAGAACATCTTTGTTGACATAATTTCAATACTTATAATTCAAGATAATATTTTTACATGGGTTAACATTGGAAATTTCAAAAATCCTGAAAATCCTGAATTTAGCAGTTTTTTTATAGTTCTACATAGGAAATAGAAGGCTTTCAGGAGTCTGAAAATCCTGACTTCAGGAATAATCCTGAAAACTTTCACCCATGTTTTTATCTATTTTCTTTAATTTTTCAGTACATAAATGAAATTATATTGAATTCAAAAGTCAGGAAATCATCTTTTTCAATATCTCTAAAAAATTAATTTATAAAAAGCTTTGAAGCACAAAGGTTCTGGTTTTTTTAACTGTCTGGGCAAATTAACCTGTAAAGGTCAATCTAGCTAGATATCACACGGTCAAACATTTTGGCAATATGGCAGCCAAGTGATAAATTATTTACCTGTTGGAAACTATAAGGTAGCGGGTAGTTAATGTTCATAGTAAAGTTTTTTATCTTATCAACGGATTATACATAGTTTTATCGGGGTATGCTATACTTTACTTCATGGCATGTTTGATGAATGATTACTAGCATGTCAGATTCCTGGCACAATTATTGATGGACTTTCCCTAGGGGTCTGTCTTCAGTCTTCACATTATGTCATAGCCAGCTCGAAGTACAAAGCGAGCTTTAAAGTAAGGCAGGTACCTGCTAGATAGTGATGTTAAACTTAGTTCTGGCTTCCACCATAACTTTATATGTAGCTTTTATTTTGACGTTGTGCACCAGTTCTAGCAGTACCATAAAACCTGTTCACTGAAGTATCTTTAGCTATGTTAAACTATACTATTTATACCACATACATGTCTTTCTGAATAAGCTGCGACAGATAAATGATTAATATGAAAAAGGCAGCAAAGCCTCATTTACTCGATTTACTTTTACTGTGAAATAGTACAAAATAATCTTTCATTTTTTTTTTACATTTTCCGTTTTAAAATTGTCATTAGGTATTTTATACACTGCTTCCACTTATTTTGGTTCCCTGTCCAATTATGGTTCCCAAATAAGTAAGCAGGACACCAGTCTACGCTTCCATTTTCAATCAGATTACCTCAGTTTTTATGGTTATCTTATATCTTGTAATTTGAAAAGTAGATTTGTCAATTCAGTACTTCTGAAACCAACACTATCTAGCAGGTACTCGCGTTACCCTAAAGCTAGCTTTGCGAGCAGGCCCTTCGGGCGATCTCTTCGAGCTCGATTATATGAAAAAGGCAAAGCCTCAAAGCGAGCTCGATTTACTTTAACCGTGAAATAGTATAAAATAATTGTTTATTTTCATTTTACATTTTCCGTTTAAAAATTGTCCTGTATTTTATACACTGCTTCCACTTATTCTGGTTCCCTGTCCAATTATATATGGTTCCCATATAAGTGCGCAGGACACCAGTCTATGCTTCTGTTTTCAATCAGAATACCTCAGTTTTTATCGTTATCCTGTAATTCGAAAAGTTGCAATGTGTCTGTTCAGTACTTTGGACAAAAGTTTTCAAAACCATCACTATCTAGCAGGTGCTCGCGTTACCGTAAAGCTCCCTTTGCGAGCAGGCCCTTCGCGCCAGCTCTTCAAGCTTGCTATTACTGTATTAGACTCCATTCATAGATGATGGATCAATTGTCAATTGTCGACCTAAAGGTTTATTTTTTATTTGAGGATTCAAATTTTTAAAAATAAAAATCAACTTCTGTTATATCCTTACCTAAGCTAAGGAAGAATCCGCAGAGTTTTACAAGTTGACACTTTTTTTTAGTGTATTAAATCGTTTTTCATTGATTGTCACTCACCTTAAAGAATTTATTTCCCTAGGACAGTAACAGTATAATTCAGTACTAGAAGTTAAACGTGAAATTAAGATTTCAGTATGTAAGTACAGTCAAATTGATACAAAATTTAGATTTTATCGTTTTCTTGGCCACCTGTGTGTAAAATTCTTCTTTGGAAAGAGCTTTAAGTAACGACAACTCTAATTTTACTTTTAGTTTTACGGAAAGTGGCGAAATATTCCGATTGCATAGTGAAACTATGGTGGCTGCTTTAGGACATTTAATAATTTCATATTTAAAACAAAGATGCTTCTATATTATATATCAATCACAAAACAAAAGACACATTGAGGCTTGATAAATGCGTAATTCTGAAGTTGAAGAGTTACAAAAATATATAAAATACTAAAATTATAGAATTGTACCGATAACTTTAAACTTCATTTTGACAATAGGGCCTACTCTAACACGTTTACAAATGAACTAAAGCTTGCAACACAATTTTTTCTCATATCGAAGAAAAACATTGTTAACATTTTGTTCCGCACACTGCAACGCTGATTTAATGTATTCTATTACTTTAAATATTAAATTATTAGACCGAGGCTACCATGGTCATCATCATCGTCATCATCATCCATTATTCATCGCCATAATCATCATTATCATCAGAGTTCATATAAGGTTCCAGTCATTCGTAAATTATTTCTTAAACTTAGCCAACTACTATAATACAAACTTATGTATTTAATGCAGTTTAAGAGTTATAGATGTACGGTTAATTAGTTGTGTCATAGTTTTGCACGATTATTTCGTGCTCACTGAACGTTATTGACAGGCGGAGAGGACTTCGCATTGTATTGTACAAGTCGTATTGTATTGCCCACCCACCCATACCTTTAACCGTTGTCTTAGACAATTTGTTCTGACTTAGAATAACCATTAATATTTTGTATCGATGTGCATTAAACGATATTGAAACAATGCGAAGGCCTTCATCCTATTTCAGCGTTGTTGTTTATTCTGTCCCAGACATAAGGTCTTATAACTCTTATTAGGCGATTAATGATTTATTTTCGTTTAAGCAAAGCGAATTTGAAAATAAGCGTCTACTTCTACAAGAACGATCACTCACGTAGAAATATTATTCATATATAATTTGGTAGCCTCCCTTTATTCACACGCGCGTTTAATTGTTTCAAACATTGTGACAAACTTGAACTTTACTATCAAGATTTCAAATTAACAGCATTGAAAATGATTTTTGTAAATAAATACCTTACTACTAAGACTGAAATAGATCATGTATGGTTAAACTGCGAGTGCCTTTGACCAACCAAGGTAGGTCTGCCATTTCTGAACATTTGAACCTGTCTTGGATCTACATATATAGATAAACTTGTCACTAAGGATTTCCAAACTTTTTTTTACCTTGGATCGTTGATGCATCATTTAAAATGACATCTGACATAGATCACAATGTATGTGTCATTCTGAAGCTTAGAATACAAATTCGTCAACAAAGTCTGGTAGTAGATCTATATATTTTATTTATATATATATATAGGAAGGGTCAGTGTGGAAGGGGGTGGGGTAGGAGTAGGATAATATGCCCGATATGAAATCCTTGTATTTAAAATACATAATTTAGGGTGGTTATCATATTTTTTAAACTTTTAGTTTCTAAAGAAATGTAATTAGCATTTACTTGCAAACCATTGCATATAATTTTACGCCAAAGACTCATGAAATATAACCTACTCTAATTGCATCAAATTCCTTGGCATCGACGATCTTATTTCATTCTACCCCGGGTTGAGAGAATTAATTTACTGATCAGCTTTGGTCGTGGAAATGCTAAGTTTTAAAGTCTATTCCCCCGACGTCACGATTTATTGAAATCTTTATTGCCTATGAATGCCCGAAGTTGCACATATTCTATAGGTAAACAGCATAAATTATATATAATGTAATTTCTTATGATTACGTAAGTCTGTAATTATACTTAATGTATTCATAATCAAATAAATATAAGGCGGTTACATAATGCATGTTTTAAGAGATATGACTCACGAACTGTGGCCTATTTGATTAAGAAATGACACTGACACGTCTAAACACTGTGCAAGGTTTTCCCAGTTATCGCCGGTTTACACCGTAAATAATTGGAAACTTAGTTTAAATATGCAACCTACATTAATATGCAACGGAGACAATTGTCTTTGTATGATTCATTCAGAAAAGACACTGTGGTCGAAATGTTAAAAGTTATGCCGAAAGAAAGCGTATCAATGTTCAAGCATTTAAAATAGTTTGTCAGCAAATTTAAACCATGTTGTCGTGAGCGAGCGAGCGAACGAATGAGCGAAACAGCTTAAATAACAGTTTGTTTAAATAAATAAACAAATAAATAAATAAATTTGATATTAAGATCATGCCTGTCTATTTGAGTGCGAGTCCTTTGAGTAAGTTTATGTGTTTTGCGACACGTGTGCATTACTAATCAAGCTGTCTGCAATGATTGGTACTGCCTGGTGCTGGTGGATACTGCCTGGTGCTGGTGGATACTGCCTGGTGCTGGTTGCATATTTGTCTGTTGTTTACGCCCGTTCTATGCGGTGAAGTTTCATAAAGATCAATGTTGGAACAGAACAGGAAAAAATATTTACAGTTTATGTACAATTAAATTTTGAATTTCAAGGTTGAAATCGGTACACGTTGTCACAGTCAGTTTAATAAACAATCACGTGAATTTGAGACATCATTGTGTACCTATTTCACATATAAATTTATTACAGCTTTAATCAACAAATACACGTATGTGGTTTCGGCATAACGTTCACATGACCGTCGATTGTACTGAAATCATTTTCGATTTTATATAAGGCGTTCAAGTTCATATTAAGTCAAAATTATTTCAATGGTGTGCCAAAGCTAGATTCTGCGATAATTTTTGCTCAGGGTGTTTTGGGCCACATTATACAATTATATATTACATAAAACACGTAAATTCTATACAAGAAAGTTACAATGACAAGTACCTTTAAAGACTTATTCATTGAAAATGATCTGTCACTATGAAAGAAATACTACTTTCAGTGTGGCAATACCACGTGACATTTACGTCATTTTTGGCATCATTTCCAAGACAAATATTGCTCGATTCGGAAAAGAAAATAGCCGTAAATATTTTATTTCTGTACCAATATCTTTGGGATATGCACCAGTCTACGGGGAAAAATATAAGCTTTCCACAGAATATTGGATCTTCGTCAGTTTATAAGCCGTTTTATCAAACACTTTGCATAACCATGGAAGTTGCTTGTATAAAAGCGGGCTTCGGTTGCAAGCTATTTCGTTTTCTGGCGTTATTTGGTCTACGCCATGATTAATAGGTCAGGTTTACATCAACCGGGGGTACAGACAGCAAAATCCTACCTTAATATGTTTATATGTTTATTTTTTATGGCGTAAATCTTGCCATTTTCTTCAATTGTCAATTCTGGCACCAGTTCCAAGTCGAAAAAAGGGACTACAGTTTAAAGCAGATTTTAGAATCTGTTGCAAATGCAAAGCAACATGCCTACCGTTCTCTTTCTACAATTTACTGTTTCATTGTTGATCTTTCACAAAGAGATTGTGAAAAAACTGATTGTTCCTTAAAGCAATAACACTTACTTGTATCGCAATAGTGCACCGAAAAATAATATTTTGGTTTCGTTTAGAAGATGTTTAAAGTATTGCTCATCTTATCCTATGTAGTAAAATGTGATTTTTTCTATTTCACAATGGCGAAATTGATAAGAAATAAATGTGGTCTCAGTGAGAGAAAGAGTTAAAATAAAACAATGCTACGGAAAGGGTTACACTATATAACGCGAGTGTTGTAAAAAGGCTTAAGGTAATTTTTTCAGTCTATTTTTTGTAAAGAGTAACTGACAAACACTGACACTCGTGAAGGTGACGAATAGGTTCTTCTGTCCTCAAAAGAGAGACTTTGAAAAGGTATATATTTTTCTGGAATTGCCGTATAATAAATTTCTATAAAGTTTGATAAACAAAAATCACAATTTAGAATTAAAATCCTGAATCTAATTGTCACGCGCATTAACATGACGTTCACATTTGATGATTATTTAACTATAAGCATATATATCATCAGTCAGATTTTGTTCTTTGTGTAAAACAATTTTAAATAGCATTACATATAACTTGGAACTTTGCGTGTAAACCTGATAGTATTGATACTTAGTTGCGTTACTTATGATTCTCTATTTATCAAAAAGGCCCAAAATGGCCCTGAGTCGCCAATAAAAAGTTAAATTTCTTGAAACAAAACATTCTAAAAGTCGGACATAACAATGATTATCAATAATTATATAAATATTTACATTAACATATATGTAATAGCAACACGACTGGGGTCCATATATGACACTGATGCGTCCATTGAATTATTGATAGCTAACATAAGCTAAGTAAAATTACGATTACATTTGAAGAGTATACTAGTATTCAATTTTTATTCTTCAACTGTCAAATTACTTACTTCTTTATTCACATATCAGATAATTCATTTATTTGGCATATGCATTATGTTTTAGATTTTAAGATGTGGTCCTTCTTTAAATCTTAAAATGCAACAAAAATCCTGTTAAGGACATCTGCAGGTCATGCCGCGTGCAATAATCCATGCATTTACATCTAATGACCACATCGATAAGAAATAGTCCCAAATAGCCCTATCGTTTTTATTCAGTTGGAAGAGACATTATTGTTAAAAATTCTACTTTCAAACCATAAATATTCCGTTCCCTTCCTCTCTTTACAATGTGTATTGGTGAGCTCTCTGATAAAGCTCGATTGACTGATATAATTAACTAAATTTGTCAGATATGTAGTTTATCAACAGAAATAAATGCAATAATAAAATAAATAGTGTTTAGTGTTCTTAAGTGAACGAAGTTATCAATCGCAACTACTCGGCCCTTTCCGTCAGTCTTCGGATAAGGACCTCGAACACAATAGTATGAATACACAGAACGGATGCGGTATTCCGGTCAAACCTACGCTAAGAAACTAAACATGTAAACAAATAGTAATTTAATGCTGGGAGTTGTTGACAAGTTTATTTCCAATATATGTAGTTCAAGTCCACTTAAAATAAGTGAATTCATAGGTACAAAA